CAGAACATTTTTAACTTAAGAAATAAAGGAAATTTTATCTCATTTAAGCCACCAATTATTTTAGTTTTATGCTACTTCCAGTGGAATCTGTCCTAATTCTTTAACAATATAATTTAATTAAAATATTGTGGTTTTAGTAAAATGCACAGGTTTTGTATACTGTTTAACTTCCTTTTTAAGATTTTGACTCTTGATTTCTGATTGAGTTAAAAGTGGTATACAGAGTGTTTTATATTTATTATCCCCTAAATCCCTCAAGCCCTAAGGGGCTTGGCATATCACCCCCTTTTATATGTATGAGGAAATTAAGGCTTAAAATGGTTAGTAACTTCCTCATAATTCTGAAATAATAAAAGGAAAAATTTGAAATATAATCTAAGTCTGCCTCAACCTAATTCCTCATCTCTTAATCAATATGCCATATTGTCAGACATTAACTGGTAGCATTGTTTTCTAACTAAGCAAGTGAAATTTATTTATTCTTCCTACTCCTATTCCGTGAACTAAACTCTCTTGTAGAAACGTGACTTTTAATCTATGGTTTGTATTTGTTTCTACACCAATGACCACACTACTTTAGACCAAAAACCTTAGAGTCCATACAGAAACACTGACCTAAGTAAGCTGTTAGATACCACAAATGATCTTCATGATGAGTCTATCAGCCTAATTAATTTCCTGTACCTTCTTAACATGGCACATTCATTATTGCAGAAAAGAGTCTAAATAGAGAGTAGAGTTATCCTATGGTTGCCTTTCTTGAATTCTTATGCTCTTTCTTCAGTCTTTTTGTGATATATATATATATATATATACTGACATTTATATACACTATATAAAACATGTTTTCTTTGGGAAATTGAAATTTACTTTGTTACATACATCTTCATATGTCTCTTATTGAAATTAAATATACTATATTCACCTTAGTCTACCATTTGTTTGAAAGCAGTTGCTGTTCTAGTATCAATTCTAAATAAAATAACCAATTTTGGAAAAGTACAGGTGGTAATGTTGTGGAGGAATTTTTGTCACTTAATAACTTAGAGATTCTGGAAATTTAGTAGGGAAAACCCTAATGGGTTATCTTCTGTTAAAATTACCCATATGTCTTTGGCAACTCTTCTTAAAGATTATGCTGAAAACTGGGTGTGGTGACTCAGACCTGTAAACCTAGTACTGTGTGAGGCTGAGACAGGAGGACTGCTTGAGGCCAGGAGTTCAAGACCAGCCTGAGCAACATAGGGAGGCCCTCATCTCTACAAAACAAACAAAAAGATAGTTGAGCATGATGGCGCATGTCTGTGGCCTCAGAGATTCAAGAGGCTGAGGCAGGAAGATTGCTGGGCCCAGGAGTCTGAGGTTACAGTGCCTGTGATGCCACTGTACTCTAGCCTGGCCAACAAAGTAAGACTCTGCTCCCCCACAAGAAAATATGCTGAGAGAGCATGTTTGTGTATCATAAATCACTTTATTCCAAAAACAGGACTTACCATAGCTGAATCAGACATTCTTCAGCATTCACTGTGATGATAATGTTCTTATGGAAATGATAAAATTTTTTTGACCCAGCTGCTGGGTGCATGAGCAGTCCACACTTGTGTTATGTTTTAGTTTCTATTCCTGCTGTAAAAAAATACCACAAACTGTATTGCTTAAAACAATAAAGTGTATAATCTTACAGTTCCATAGATCAAGCATCCAATATGGGTTTTATTGAGCTAAAGTGAAGTTATCATCAGGGACGCACTGCATTCTTGTGGCTCTAGAGGAGAGTCCCTTTCGTTGACTTTGTCAGCTCCTAGACATCTTCAAACCCAGCAACATTGCATTTCTGACCATTCTTCAATAGTTTTTGAAGAATGACCTCTGACCATAGTCAGGAAAGGTTCTGTCCCATCCAGATAATACAGGATAATCTCCCCTTCACAAGTTTCTTAATTTAATGATAACTGCAAATTATCTTTTGCCATGTAAGGTAACATACATTTGCTGATATTGGGAATTAGAGAATGGGTATTTTTGGCCATTATTCTGTCTACCACAATTGGCTGCTTGGAGAAAATTATCTAGTCCAGCAGTACCACTTGTGGCCAAAGAGAAAACATAAAGTGCTTTATATAGGAGTTTAGGCTTTATGATAAGATGACTTAGTTAAAGGCAAAGTGATTAACAAATTTCTAAAAAACATTAAAAAACACTGAATTAATAAGGATGTCCTGAATCTTTACTGTAATTTAAATTATGAAAATAGAAAACCTAAGCAAAAGAATTCAAATTTGATAAAAAGAACTTGTACCTAGAATATATAAAGAATGCTTACAACTCAATTATAAAATGACAAATAACCCAATTTAAAATGTGCAAATATCTAAACAGAAATTTCCTAAAGGAAGATATACAAGTGGCCAATAAACACATGAAAAAAATGTTCAACATCATTACTCATTTGGGAAATGCAATTCAAAATCATAAATACCACAAGCATGGCTGTAATGGGCTGTAATCAAAAAGTAAGATAACAAGAAGTGTTGGGAGGATATGGAAATATTGGAGCCCTGGTAACACCATTGGTGAGAATATAAAATGGTGCAGCCATGTTGCAAAAATAGTCTGCTAATTCTTCAAGAAATTAAACTTAGAAATACAACATGACCCAGAAATCCCCCTTAGAAAAATGGAAACATATGTTCACACAAACATTTGTTTATGAAAATTCATAGCAGCATTATTCATAACAGCCAAAAGGTGGAAACAACCCCAAATGTCCATCAAACAATGAATGGATAATCAAAATGTGATATATCTATACAATGGAATAATTTTTGGTCATAAATAGAAATGAAGTATTGATACGTGTTATAACTTGAATGAACCTTGAAAATATTATGTTAAATGAAAGAAGTCAGTCACAAAAGTTCACATATTATATTTTTCAATTTATACAAAAGTCCAGAATATGAAACTCCATTGAGACAGAAAGTAGATTAAGGGTTTCTTAGGGTTGAAGATCAGAGGAATGGGAAAACTTGAGTGGGGCTATCTTTAGAAGTGATAAAATATACAAAGTTTCTTTAGAAGTGATGAAAATGTTCTAAAATCATGATGATGGATACACAACTCTGTGAATATATCAAAAGCCATTGCATTGTATGCATTAAAATGGGTGAAATGTATGGGTTTGTAAATTATATCTAATTAAAGCTGTTTTTTAAAAGGATAAAACAAAAATTATTTTTACATGTTAAGGGGAAAAAAGGAATCTAAGAGTGTTACAGGCCCAACTTTGAGATCTGCCTATGAGAAAATAATATTCCAATAATTTGAAAGTTGTTCAAAATTTTCAATAATTTGAAAACTGAATTCTCAGGCTTAGGTGTTGCAAAGAAGAGGAAGTAATCTACTTTTTAATAAACCTTTGGTTAAATACCACCAATTGTAATTTTTTCAGTGTCTACTCCTAGTGTCTATAATATGTACCATAGAAAAGATGAACTTGTGAAATTGTTCTAACTCCAGAAATATTTTGCTACCAAATGTATACGACTTCTCAGTTTATATGTTAATTTTACTTAATCAATAACACTTCGACAGCGTTACGCAGTCAGTACCATAAGTGAAAGTTTGCTCTTTGTACTTCTCCCTGTGCAAACCACAGACCTCTGTTTATACACACAAAAGCCACGCGAATAAAGAATCCAGTGTTGCATATTACATAGCCTATATGGTAGGTTTAGAATTTTACCTCCAACGTTAAACTAGAAAATAGTGAAACGCATGGTGGCGCTGCAGGCTAAGAAGATGGAAACGGAATTACTTAAGCAGCTCCAGCCGAACCATTTCGCACCGCCTGGAAGCAAAAGAATAGCTTTCTCAGACCAAAAGCCGGAGCGAAGCTTCTTTAAAACATTATTGGACCGCGTTACCGGGATACTGGGCATACACGAAGCTCCTGTGAACCAAATACGTGTATGCAGGAAAGAGCTATGGAGATTGGATGGACACACAATCAGAGACAAAGGCAAGTCCTAGCTTTCTTTGTTTTGCTGAGCATGTCTGGGGTGGGCGCTGATTTGGGGCCCTATGCCATAGCGGAAGAATCAGAGAGAGGCTCTTTTGTGGCAAATCTAGGAAAAGACCTGGGATTGGGATTGACAGAAATGTCCATCCGCGGGGTCCGGATCATTTCCCAGGAGAACAAGGCTCATTTGCAGCTCAGAGTTGAAACTGGGGATTTGCTCATAAATGAGAAACTAGATCGAGAGGAGCTATGTGGTTCCACTGAGCCTTGTGTACTACAATTCCAAGTGTTAATGGAAAAACCCTTAGAAATACTTCAGGCTGAACTGAGGGTGAGAGATATAAACGACAATTCTCCCATGTTCATTGAAAAAGAAATGATTCTAAAAATACCGGAAAACAGTCCTTTAGGATACGCATTTCCTCTGAATAATGCTGTGGACTTAGACGTAGGAAGCAATGATGTTCAAAACTACAAAATCAGCTCCAACTCTCATTTCCGGGTTCTAACTCAAGAACTCAGAGATGGCAGGAAATACCCAGAACTAGTGTTGGATAAAGAGCTGGATCGGGAAGAGGAGCCTGAAGTAAGATTAACTCTGACCGCGCTGGATGGTGGCTCTCCATCCCGGTCTGGGACTGCTCAGGTTCTCATTGAAGTGGTGGACACCAACGACAATGCCCCAGAGTTTGAAAAGCCAATCTACAAGGTGCAGATTCCAGAGAATAGCCCTGTTGGCTCCCTGGTTGTCACTGTCATCGCCAGAGATTTAGACAGTGGAGTCAATGGGAAAATATCATACACACTCTTCCAGCCTTCGGATGACATTAGCAAAACTTTGGAGATAAATCCTATGACAGGAGAAATTCGACTTCGAAAACAAGTAGATTATGAAACAGTGCTATCTTATGCAGTGGATATAAAGGCCACTGATGGGGGAGGTCTTTCAGGAAAATGCTCTCTTCTCCTGCAGGTCACAGATGTGAATGATAATCCCCCAGAAGTGACCATGTCTGCACTCACCAGCCCCATCCCAGAGAACTCCCCGGAGATTATAGTTGCAGTTTTCAGTGTTTCAGATCATGACTCTGGGAACAACGGGAAGACAATTTCCTCCATCCAGGAAGACCTTCCCTTTCTTTTAAAACCTTCAGTGAAGAACTTTTACACCTTGTTAACGGAGAGAGCACTGGACAGAGAAGAGCGAGCCGAATATAACATCACCATCACCGTCACTGACTTGGGAACACCCAGACTGAAAACACAGCTCAACATAACAGTGCGGGTCTCTGACATCAATGACAACGCCCCCGCCTTCACCCAAACCTCCTACACCCTGTACGTCCGCGAAAACAACAGCCCCGCCCTGCACATAGGCACCATCAGCGCTACTGACAGAGACTCAGGCACCAATGCCCAGGTCATCTACTCCCTGCTGCCACCTCAGGACCCGCACCTCCCCCTCGCCTCCCTGGTCTCCATCAACGCTGACAACGGACACCTGTTCGCCCTGAGGGCGCTGGACTACGAGGCCCTGCAGGCCTTCGAGTTCCGCGTGGGCGCCACAGACCGAGGCTCCCCCGCGCTGAGCAGCGAGGCGCTGGTGCGCGTGGTGGTGGTGGACGCCAACGACAACTCGCCCTTCGTGCTGTACCCGCTGCAGAACGGCTCTGCGCCCTGCACCGAGCTGGTGCCCAGGGCGGCCGAGGCGGGCTACCTGGTGACCAAGGTGGTGGCGGTGGACGGCGACTCGGGCCAGAACGCCTGGCTGTCGTTCCAGCTGCTCAAGGCCACGGAGCCCGGGCTGTTCAGCGTGTGGGCGCACAATGGCGAGGTGCGCACCGCCAGGCTGCTGAGCGAGCGCGACGCGGCCAAGCACAGGCTGCTGGTGCTGGTCAAGGACAATGGCGAGCCTCCGCTGTCCGCCAGCGTCACGCTGCACGTGCTGCTGGTGGACGGCTTCTCCCAGCCCTACCTGCCGCTGCCGGAGGCGGCGGCGGAGCAGGCCCAGGCCGACTCGCTCACCGTCTACTTGGTCATCGCCTTGGCCTCGGTGTCGTCGCTCTTCCTGTTCTCGGTGGTGCTGTTCGTGGCGGTGAGGCTGTGCAGGAGGCACAGGGCGGCGTCTGCGGGTGTCTGCTCGGTGCCTGAGGGCCACTTTCCGGGCCACCTGGTGGATGTCAGCGGTACTGGGACCTTATCCCAGAGTTACCAATATGAAGTGTGTCTGATTGGTGGCTCCGGGACAAATGAGTTCAAATTCCTGAAACCAATAATCCCCAACCTCCCGCCCCAATGTCCTGCGAAAGAAATTGAGGAAAATTCTAACTTCCACAATAGCTCTGCATTTAATTATTGATAGGAACCCAGTAATAAGGACATTAACTTCTTAATATTGTCTTCTTTGATGAACTAAATTTTTAATGCTCACTACCACCAATAAGGTTCTATTTTATCTTTTCTGTGTGGTTATTAATTTCCAATTCTTCACTATTTTCCTTTTCCACACATTTACTCTAGTGAGGTATTTCTCATGAAATTCCAGTTAACGAAGTAGGCTTTATCTTCAAAACCGGTATTATATTGTAATTTTTTCTGCTACTCTTTGCCTTTATTCACTTTATATTATCACTGTATTATTCATGTCCTCATTTTCCTCGAACTTCTTTAAGTACTAAATTATCTGCTGCATGTAATATGTGTATGTTCTGTATAATATTCCTTTTGTCTGTTTTCTTTTCAAAATTGATGTTCTTGTTTATCATACTCAGTTTTCATTATAACCCTTTTTGTAGATTATGGTACTTTTTCAGAAGTTCTACTTTCCCTGTATTGACATTTCCCTACAAGAAATATAACATTTCTTTCACATATGATATGAGAAATTTCTGATCAGCCTTATCTAACAATAAGAGGAAAGCCAGTGGAGGATATTGAGTGCATGTAAATGCATTTAAGTTTGGAGACAAAAAGACAAAGATTAGGCCTTCTATAATTAAGATTACATAGAAATATTTAATAATTTGTTGCTTTTGATTCTGAAGGAAAAAATCTGAAGTTTTGTTACATTTTTAATGACTGAAAACTTAGTCCCATTAAGAAAAATAGAAGTCATCATACAGAGGTTTATATGGTGTGGCTTTTATATTCAACAGCATGGTCTTTTGTTGTTATATCTGGCCCTTTCTCTGTACAATATCCCTAGATTTAAAGTGCATCCCTTGCTTATTATGGAAAAAATAGAGCTTCCTTTTAGATATTAGGCTTTTAAATAAAATTCTATGTGAGTCTGATGTTATAATGTAGTTCTTAACTTTCAAAAGTGTTGGGAGAGTTGTTCATTTGATCTGTTCTTTACCTCCCTTCATTTGGTGTAAATAAATTGAATTCTACTAGATTTCTTTCCTTTTTCTTTCTTTTTTTTTTTCACCCAGGGTAGAGTGCCATGGCATCATACCTCACAGCAACATCAAACCCCTGAGCTTGAACAATCCTCTTGCCTCACCCTTCTGAGTAGCTTGGACTAAAGTGCCTGGCTAGTTTTTCTAGTTTTAGTAGAGACAGGGTCTCTCTCTTGCTCAGGCTGGTCTCAAACTTCTAAGCTCAAGCAATTCATCCACCTCAGCCTCCCAGACTGCTAGGATTACAGCTATGAGCCCCTGCAGCCAGCCTGGATTTTATTAGATTTCAATTAAGAATGACCTTAAAATAAAGTTTAATCCCTTCTTTAACAGTGCAAGTTATTTTACACCTAATATAAGAAAAAAAGAAAGAAAAACACTAGAAATTACAGAGCACTGTATCCTGTATTTTTCAAGTTTCAATGAATAACCCCTTTCAGATTCTGGATTATAGAGTGATGGCTGTGTTTAGGCAATATAAGATTTTGAAGAAATTTGTTGAAGAAGGTTCAAAATGAGGTTCTTTTGTCAGGTTTTAGTGTTCCTATGCTCAACGTTTCTGGAAAAGTAGAATATAACATGTTGTTTGGTGGTCCCAGAAGGTTCATACAGTTTTCCTTTTGTTGCATAAGAGTTGTGTCAGAGATGAAAAGCCTAGTACAGAGCTAAACCCAGCATAGGGAGGTGAACAGTTACTGTCAGAAACATTTTTCAACTGTTAATTTTTAAACTTTTCCCATAAAGCAATGAGGAATACCAACAAATTGAACAGTTCTCTAATCGGCATTATTTTTTACAAAAGAAAATAATTTAAACGAGTCCCCAAATTTTATAAATGTATACACAAACACACAAAAATTGGATGAAGCCATCTAAATGTGCTGGAAACCACACGGTGGCGCTGTAAGCTAAAAAGACGAGGGGAGGAAATTTTGAACGCTATGCAAGTCAGTAACACACAGACACGCAACGCACACACACAAAGGAAGATCCAGACAGATGCGCTGAGGAAAAAAGCTGTAGCAGCCAAAAATTGGAAAACGAAAAGGACGAAAAACTAGGTCCTTGCTAGTACGTGACATAAGTCTGGGGTTTGGGACTGCTGTTTACCTCAGGCGCTAAGGTTGTGACTGATAAATAAGGAACCAGCAAGCTATGGAGGTCAGAGGGTTCTGCTTCCCAAGACAAAGGCAAGTTGTATTTCTCTTTCTATTTTGGGGAGTGTCCTTGGCAGGTTCTGGGCTTAGACGTTATTGGGTAACAGAGGAAACAGAAAGAGGATCATTTATAGTCAATCTGGCAAAAGATCTGGGACTAGCAGAGGGAGAGCTGGCTGCAAGGGGAACCAGGGTGGTTTCGGATGATAACAAACAACGCTTGCTTCTGGATTCTTATACTGGGAACTTGCTCACAAATGAGAAACTGGACCGAGAGAAACTGTGTGGCCTCACAGAGCCCTGCATGCTGTATTTCCAAATTTTAATGGATAACCCTTTTCAGATTTATCAGGCTGAGCTGAGAGTCAGGGATATAAATGATCACTCACCAGTGTTTCGGAACAAAGAGATGGTCTTAAAAATACTAGAAAACACACCAGAAGGGACAGCATTTCGACTAGAAAGAGGACAGGATTCAGATGGAGGACTTAATGGAATCCAAAACTACACCATCAACTCCAACTCCTTTTTCCATATTAAAATTAGTGACAGTGATGAAGGTATGATATATCCGGAGTTAGTGTTGGATAAAGCACTGGATTGGGAGGAGCAGAAGGAGCTCACTTTAACCCTCACAGCGCTGGATGGTGGGTCTCCACCAAGATCTGGGACTTCTACTATACGAATAGTGGTTATGGACATCAATGACAATGCCCCACAGTTTGCTCAGGCACTGTATGAGGCTCATACTCCAGAAAACAGCCCAGTAGGGTCCCTTATTGTTAAAGTCTCTGCAGAAGATGTGGACTCTGGGGTCAATGCTGAAGTGTCCTATTCATTTTTTGATGCTGCTGAAGATATTCCAACAACTTTTCAAATTAATCCTTTCTCTGGGGAAATCATTCTCAGAGAGTTACTTGATTATGAGTTAGTAAAGTCTTACAAAATAAATATACAGGCTACTGATGGTGGGGGTCTTTCTGCAAGATGTACAGTTTTGGTCCAGGTATTAGACACCAATGACAATCCTCCTGAACTGATCATGTCATCACTTTCCAATCACATTGCTGAGAACTCTCCTGAGATGGTGCTGGCAGTTTTTAGAATTATAGACAGAGATTCTGGAGAAAATGGAAAGATGGTTTGTTACATTCAAGATTATCTGCCATTCCTGCTGAAGCATTCTGTGGACAATTTTTACATCCTAATGACGAACGGAGCCCTGGACAGAGAAAGCCAAGCTGAGTACAACATCACCATCACTGTCACTGACTTAGGGACACCCAGGCTGCAAACCCAGCAAAACATAACAGTGCTGGTCTCCGACATCAACGACAACGCTCCCACTTTCACCCAAACCTCCTACACCCTGTTTATCCGAGAAAACAACAGCCCCGCCCTGCACATTGGCACCATCAGTGCAGCTGACAGAGACTCAGGCACCAACGCCCAGGTCACCTACTCCCTGCTGCCACCTCAGGACCCGCACCTGCCCCTCACCTCCCTGGTCTCCATCAACGCTGACAACGGACACCTGTTCGCCCTGAG